TTGGCCGCCGCCAACCAGCATTGTCCGCCCCGCGAAAATACTTCAAAATTTTTCATCGGTCCGGAAATCGAACCCGAGCCCTCCGCATGCCGATCGATCCACCGCACCGCTGCACAGTTGCTCGCTTATACTTGAGGTGTATTCTATCTAATTTAACTGGAAAATGATCGCATATGTACGAGACGTATAATTTCCACCACCACTATACCATACCAACGGCCGCGCGTGGACTTGTATTTAATCAACATATTATTTTATCACTCGTTATCAACATATTACACGTTATTCTAATCATTGTAATCAGTTATCATTTGTTATCATATATATTTACCCGCCGATCGGACTTGTATTTAATCAACATATATTGTTATCATATTTTTGCCGCCGTTCGCATACATTTAATCAGTTCAACTTGCCACCACCATTTAGGCATACTAATAGGCGGCAATTACACGTCAATCAAATAAATGACTATTTAACAATAGGAGATATTTCCTGCCATTAGATGATTTCTAAATTAATACTCATTTTAGCCATCTGCTTATGTGCCAAACTGATTCACGTCTTTGTCGCCAGGATGTCGCACCCTAAGATATTAAAATGTCTATTAGTGAACACACACACACACACAACATTATATAACCGATATACATTTATATAAATGCCATATTCGCTCGAGTCGCCAGGTTGACGTCGGCTCTTAATAGCCTATGTACTAGCTGGCACCTGCTCTTAGAACTCTATGGTAGACTTTTAAATCAATTAATCACATTTCAGCATAGTCCATTTAAATATCCCCACCTATTATAGAGACTCTAACTAAAGAGCCAGTAGCCGTTTAGTACGTTCACAGTCTTAATCACGTTACACGTTTTTCGTTCTCTAAGTCTTTAAAAAAAAATTTTTCAAAGTTATTATTTCACTGCTTATATTTTTTGTTCAACCATCTTTAAAAAATTTTGTGCGTATATTTATCGTTCTAAACCGTTGTTACGCTTCGTCTTTTTAAAAACTGTACTGAGTTTAAAAATAATTATTACATGGCTGGTCAATTGGAAACATGGCTGCAGTGTACAAGAAGAATTTTACCTATGTTCACCAACACCACCTGCGGGCCTCATCGACTGCAGTAATTTTACACTGACTTCAACGGCCGTAAGTTTTGAATGTAGGACTTGATCCTACGGACGAATTCAACACCGTAGTGCAATAGTCACACCATCGCGGTATGTCAAAATAACATCGGATTTTCTACGAATATTTTCACTGGGAAATATATTGTCGTTTATTTTGGATCAACCGCAAAAATATAAGCGAAATTTATTTCTGGAAACCGAACTTTATAAACTATCCAGTATGATGTACAGTGGTGAAAACGTACTAGTGATAGAATCAAAAACTCAAGAAGGGTGTAGAATACTATTGAATCGAGTGGACCTTATTCAACTTCAATACTTGGAATGGTGCATATTTGAAACAGTCGTTCGAAAGTTAAACATCATACGACCACTTGTATTAAACAGTATGCGATTATGGGTATTATTTGGACCAGGAGTTTACCAAAGTCGAATCACAAAAACACCCAAAAAATGGTTGTTTTTATCAAAAATTAAGTGACGATAAAATTAGTTGAATGACGACATGAATTTCATCAGTCAGCTGAAAATGTTTGCAACAAGTCAATTAGCTGAACAATGGGCGCAGAGATGGAGCGGAGAAATGTCACCCGAGGTAATTTAACCTATCATTATATCGCTTGTAAAATTTTAATGTATAATGTATTAGTTTTACTAGTTATTCACGAATCGAAATAGAGCTCATTTCACCGCCAATCGCAAACCAAAATACTCGGATATCGTGCCAATGCACGAAGACCTATAGGTACAGTAAATTTACGATTTATAAATTTAAATATTAATTTTATATTTTATAGCACTGGATGAGGATCGTGAGCAATACGTAACTGCGCTGTTACGACCTCGTTTAGCATATTCGAATTCCATGGATTTCATTAATCGATATAATGATGTGCGGGAGAAATTTGGTAGACTTTTATCTTCATTAACTACCGTCAAAATTTTATCTAACGTCGGCAGTTCACGATTAAACCAAAACTGATGGATTTTCCTTCTGATGGCATATTTATCAAAATCGTCTACTTTTGTTTCAACGTTTTTGAAAATTTTTATTTTGTTTGGCGAAGAAACTGTTTTGCTTTCGCGATATTGGGCAATTGTGTTTGAAATTGTCTTTTGACCAATTCCCAATTCCTTAGAGAGGATTTCGCGCGCCTTTCTAACAGTCAAATTTGGATCGACTGCTAATTTGGATTTATACGCATTGATTATCATTTCACGTTGACGTGAACAAACAAACTAAAAAAAATAAATATATCTTGTTATCTACATTTTTATAAAAATGAAAATCGACTTTTTCAATTTTAAACGTTTTTAAATGAAGTGAGAAATTTAGTACTACAATAGTAATATTACTTAACATTTTTTTTTAAATTTTTTATACTAATTTATCACAATAATAGTTTTTAAAAAAATGTTTGAAAGCGAGAATATTATTTACCAAGCACTGGATTTGCACAACATTAATTTTTATAAAAAACATTTCGAAATTTAAAATTGAAAGTATTTTGAAATTGTAGATTTATTTAATAAATTATTTTAAAACAATAAATGTATACCATATAATTAGTGTAATTAACTTTCGAGTTCATTATACCTTACTGGAAATAACGTAAAATAGTATGAATAGTTTCATCGTAAAAAAAGATAATATCTTTAAATTAATCTTTATATTTTTAAAATTGCATTGTATATAGTAAAATTAATAGTACCTACCAATATAAAATAAGTTTTAAGTTGTAAGTAGTTTTAAATTGTGTTTGAATTATTACATCGTATTGTATTTTATTTTCATACCCTACCTATCAAAATCGAATATTCACGTGTTGGGTTGATTTTTTTTACAAAAGTTAAGTTTATAAATGAATAATGAGCAGTTTTATATTACGTTATTTCCAGTGTTGGTGAAATTACTATTTTTTGGTAATTAAATTACATTACTAATTCCTTATCAAAATTGTAACTAAATTTTTTTAAGTTAATTTTTTATTTATTTAGTAAATTTACATTTTTTTTGAGTTTAAAAAGTATTGTAATTACAAATATAAATAATTAATACTACTATAATTACTTGTTGTTATTAAGAAAAAAATGTTTTAAGGCTACGGTACTGAGAAAGACTTAAAAAAGCAAAATATCATTTTAACTTTTAAATATGCAAAAATATGCAACATAGAATTTCACATTTAACATCTTAGGTTTTTAAAACAAATTAATAGCTCAAATATACGTCTCCAGATCCTCTAAAAAGAAATGTGTAAATGCTAGAAGTTATGAGTTCTGATCATTATAGTTACTAAAAATATACAATTTAACTATAATATTTTTTTTATATTTTTATATTTTATTTTTTTAAATAGAAGTTTCTTTTGATCTTTCAAAATTAAACGGATTTCAATATTATTTTTTCTTCATATTACAAGTAAATAACTCTATGAAATAGCTGTTTTCAAATGTTCAAAAAAATGTAAGTGGTTTTTTATTATTTTTACTTTGACCAATATTAAAGGTCACTAAGGCCATTAGTCATATTTACATTGAAAAAACTGCATTACAATATCTGAATTATTTTTCGAATCACAACTACTGACATTCTAGTTAATTTACATACTGTATTGGTAACTGGTTCTTTAAAAAAAGTTTTTTATTATTTTCTCCGAATAACCTTTTATTGACTTAAGTCATTTCTCAAATTGGTGGTTCATGTGCATACTCGCTATAATATATATTAAAATATTATCGTAAAAACTCGATATGTGATTTTGGATAAAATGCCCAAACACGTGTTTTTGCCTACCAAACTATTAAATTGAATAACTGTAAATAATAGTTATTTGCCTTATAACTTATATAGTTATAAACAGTTCACATTTGTTACATAAAAGATAACGTAGTGAATTAAAATGCTGTATACCTATATTGAAATAAGTTTCAGACACAGATGCACAGTTTACAAAAAAAAGGTCATTTGGGCACAGTTGGTATGTCCTTATATGGATACAAAACGACTCATATTATAAGGAAACAATAGAACATATCGGTTTACCACATGGTAATACGTTTTTGTGTTCAATATCCTAGAAAAAAAATATTTTATACGTGTCTCATGTATATCACAGAAAAACACTTTAATATAAAATAAATGTTATACTTAGGTGTATAAATTAGTTACAGTTACAAAATACTTTTTTATAGAAAAAAGTGGGTATCAGTATCTTGTTCAACAGTTTTATAAATATTTCTTTAACTAAATCTTTGTAATAGATGTTATAGTATAAAGCGTTAAATTTTTTAATTGGTAAAGAAGTAGTATTCGGTTTACTTTTTATTTAATTTTGTTAATGAAATGAATATAGTTTAAATATTAGTAATTTGTTTTTTCATGTTATATTTCGTATTTTTGATTATAAAATTTAATATATTTTATATAAGGCTTATAATCAACCCTTGATTCAACTAATAACTTAAACCGCATGAACTTCATTTTTTAATCGACTGTTTTTCAAAATTTAATTAAATTTCTTATATTATGTCACGTTTTTAAATTTGAATATTTGTTACTTTACGGCTTCTATGAAATGGTCGATATTCATTTTCTTAAACTATTGATTCAAGTTAAAAAAATATACATACCTTTCCTTTGATATTTCGTTTAACCGGCGACGAAAATTCTACTCCAGCCATTTCTTCTTCGATAAACAAAATAAAATTAAAAAAAATAATAATGAAAAATCAAATGCAATTTAGGTACTGAGCGTTTGCTAGTGACGGTGTGCTGCGTGTAAACAGGATATTACAAATGATACACACAAAAGATTGAAATTTGAATCGTTCGGTATAACGACCAGTCAAATATTTATCATCGGTTAGGAGCGCTAGCAACCATGCTAATCAAACAAGTGGTTCCCTGGGACAAAGTGGGGGATGCGCGCCGCCGAACGGAAACTGGTCGCCGCCCGGTGTCTTCTCTTTTGAAACGGAGTATACTAACATTAAATTAAAGATGATTGTTTTCTCTCTCTGATACACGTACAACATGACAAAACGGATTAACGCAAAATAATTTCTTTTATATTTTTGAGTAATCTGAGATTAAAATTATCCATTGTAAGGATTATAAAGAATAATATTTTTGAGGGAATGGCATAACATATAGATTTGATTTATCTGAATATTGTAACAAAACAATTTAAAAATTGTTTATATTTACATTTTTGTTTTTATTTCGAAAATCTAATACGAAGTCTAGTAACCCGTCAGTGGTCGCGATGATTTTTATAACACCGTTAGTCGCGTGTGAGCGCCATGCTCTTTATTCCTGTTTTGCCAATTTTTCATACGATTTTCATTAGAATAAGTTTAAGATCTTAAATTCAAGTTTGTGGTTGTCAGTGAAACAAAAATAATGCATTAAAATATTACTTTTATTTCTTAAAATGATTAAAAATAATAATATATTTAGAAATTAAAAATCAAATACATATCATATTTTCAATACAACTTTTTATAAAAATTTAAAATTATAAAATTATAAACATAAATAATACTTTGTTAGGTATAAACCTTATACACAATTTAAAAAATAGTAATGATAAATTTAGTAAATTTCGTAAGAATTATTATTAATTTTAACATATGTATACAAAAAAAAAAAAATGGAAAAAATTATTTAAAAATAAGCATTTACTTCCTAACGTTATTCACTATCAGACTCGATTTCATTATTCTTACCACAAGACGTGCATGTTGCCACTGTATGTTCCTTACAAATAGGAACATTACACATTTCATACATGAAAATCATTGTAAATATTATTTAGAATAATACAAAAATGTTTACACTTAGTAAATAATAAAACAAATTACCATAGTTTTACGATTTTTTCTTTTCGGACAAAATCTACATTTTGGGCGATCACTAGATTCAGGAGTCGGTGCTACCGTGGGTTTTTCTACCTGATCAGTCTGTTTCATAATAGTCTGTCTAAGAGGAATTGATAATTTTTTATTTTGTAAACGTTGAATCATAAAATGTTTAGTCAATTCTTTTCCTAAGGTTTTCAAGTACAACCGTCGGCTTATAGTTTGGTTGGTATTGTCTCGGAAAATGATTTGACTATTGATTCCCGCGATGTTCATAAGGGCAAAAAATATCGTAAGTGGCCATCTGCAACTGATCCTTGCTACAGAGTACTCCCCCTTGAGCTCGTCAACCACATCAACGCCACCTTTTGTGGAATTATAGTATGTAATTACTTCTGGCTTCTTCTGGTCTCCGGATTCAGAATCTATAATTCCATGTTCATGCATAATGGATATCATAAGGACATTTTTGTTTTTTTTTTGGGACGTATGAAGTAAGTAATATATCTTTACCGTAGCCAAAAATGGTTGAGTTTACAGTCCTTTTTTTTTGTATCCAAAAAACAAGTTGGTATTTCTCTTTTGTTTTTTCGTAGAGTCCCAACTACAGTAAGTTTATGAGTTTTCAACAACCCAGTCGCCAGTGGTATATAGTTATACCAATTATCCATTGTGACGTTTCGTCCCGTTTTCGATATCGGTGAAATCAGCCTTTTCACAACACTTGATGGGTTGTTTTCACACTTGAAAGGGCCATCTGGTTGCGTCCCGACATATACCTCCATATTACAAGTGTAAAACGTTTTTGAGTCGACTAACGCTTGGATTTTTATCCCATACTTGTTCGGTTTATTAGGAATATATTGTCTGAAATTGCATCTCCCTCTAAATCCTTCTAGAATTTCGTCTATCGTAGCATTTTCACCTATAGTATAGCAGTCCTGACACCGTTTTACAAAATCATCAAATACGGATCGAATTGCAGCCAGTTTGTCTATCGATAACCTTTCCTTCCTCGTGCGAAAATCATCAAACCTAAGCGCACGTAATAACAAGTAAAAACGTTTTTCAGGCATAACTGCACGAAAGTATTCTGGAGCGAAGCCATCATTTGACCATAGGTCTTTAAGATTCAAATGATTACTTCGAAGATAACCTGCTAGGTATAAGAGACCAAAGAGCGCTTTTATTTCAATAATATTAGTGTCGAGTACGTCTTTTTCTCTCTGATAATTGATTCTGATTTTAGCTAAATAGATATTTGTACAATTTACAATTTCTTCTATAACCGTATCGGGAAAAAATAAACTCCAACAATCAACTATAGACTTAACATCTTTCGCATACCGCTTTACCCCAGGCAAATGTAAAATTATATTATGTGAGCGCGTACGTACATTCAAAGGTGGGCCGTCAATATTTCACTTCGTAATATTATCCTTACCTAAATAATAGGGGAGTTGAGAAGTACTATCCTACAATGGGCTTCTAGAACGAAATCTACGAGATGTACTTGGTCTATTACGCGTATTCAATGCTTTATTTGCGATAAATTCTGTATCAGAAAAATTAGACTCACTTTCACATTGTTCTTGTATATCAGGCTGAACAAAATCAGGATCATCGGCCAAATTATCCGTATCATATAAAAAATCTAAATCTTCTGATTCTTCAACCCATGAGGTGATATTTTATGTCACTTTATCCATTTTTATATAAAAATAAGAAACAATTAAATTATGAAACAAACCACAATATAACAAAATAAAATAAATACGGCATTAGTCGCGTGTGAGCGCTGCGCTCAGTTATTCGTGACTAATGACTTTAACCGTCAACACAAAGCAGAAATATTGATAAATTCATAACATCTATTTTTTTCTATATTTGTACATATGTCGATAAGAGGTATTTATAGTTTCACACGAAATACGCAAGAAACAAGCCAGTGATGACCAAACTCGTTTAAATGTGAGCGTGGCGCTCACATCGCGACCACTACTGACGGGGTAATAATAAAATACAAAAGTGATATATTATATAACCGCCTTCAAAAATTTTATCCTCTATAATTTTTATAACTGACATTCTCACAGTGAAATAATTAGAATTATTATGAAATATTGATATCAAAATATGTATGTTTTATTTTGGATTTTGGACAATTATTAAGTCAATACTAATAACATGGACTTGCGCTCCGTGTCACCGTGTGGTGTGTAACCAGTTTTATTATCTTTAGAAATAATTTTCGATATTAGGTTTGTTCCAGCAGTGTTGGCAACTAGTTATAATTGTTAGCAACATAAAATCAACGCGCATGCGTCTAACACAACAAGTTTGCAACCAGTGATCTGCTGCAACAGTTTTTGGCTGAAAAAGTTATCGGTTGTGGTTATTACCATTTACCAAGGAATATTACTGTGTTAACGTAGGTTGTTTATCAATTATACTGTGGCGATACCGTAGTATCACCTGGGGCGGAGTGGGAACCAAATCCAGGCCGGGAGTTTAAAATATATCCAGGCCACCCACCAAAAAATTTTTTCTCGCTTCGCTCGATTTTGGTTTTTATATTTACCGATTTCAAAACTATTATACAAGTAGGTTTTATTTCATTACTACTTTCAGTATTTTAAAAGTATTTTAATTACTATTTTGCTATTTCTTTTAACTAATCAATTCTTCTAACGCATTATACTAATATATCACTAATACCTGAAAGTCTGAAAAATTAAATTAGTAGGTATATATAGTTTAATAGTTGAAACCAACGAACTATTAATAATTATATATTGTGTTTTAATGGTTTAGGTATAGTAGGTATAAGGTAATAACTAATAAGTAATAAATAAATACATAAATTATAAACAATATAATAAAAAAGATTTATACATTTATAATAACAATTTAGATAATAGCTTAGATTTTTCACCAACTGCATTTATGATAATATTATTATCTATTTCCATGAGAATTTTATTTTCAATGGCCATTAACATAAAAGACTCAAGATGTTCATCGGTCATTGAATTTCTCAGCCTGTTTTTTAAATACTTCAATGTTGAAAACGACCTTTCACAAGCAACTTGAGTAACAGGGAGGGTTAAAATGTATTGATATGCTATAGTTAATGTCGGGTAAGCATTTGCAAATAAATTATATTTAACTAAAACATTATAACAACATATTACACAATTTTTACAAGACTTGTTACACGGTTTCACAACATCTGTACTCTCTAGGTCTTCATTTTCAGAGTCACTTCCATATGATTGTTCATTATACTCCTCATCAACAGATTTTTTTAAAAAATGCCATGATTTTCCAAAATTAAGAAGTTCATCAGATAGGTTGTTTTTGATTTCATTTTCACTTAAATTATCATCAATGAATGGTTTAATTTTGTGAGATAATTTTGTTAATGAATCAGTCGGAAGTCCACTTTTTAACAAATTGAAATTTGATGGAGATAATAAAGATAGGTCAATCAACAAATCATTATTATTTGAAAACCGTTTATCCATGCTTTCAATAATAGTGTCCAATACTCTGTTGTAAATTTCTATGGTAAATTTTTTTTCTTCTTCTACAATTGGTTCATCGTTGGTTTCATAATTTGCCATTTTTCTTTTCTTGGCGACACGTTTGACTTCAAATTTACTCTGAATCTTTTCAATCTCTAGATCTTCACTAGATTCATCAATTCTCTTTTGTATCTCATTATTCATTTTAAGAATAAACTCGTCACTAACTTGCATTGTGTTGTTCATATTTCTCTGAATCTTTTTAAGCTCATTTAATGATTCCTTCACCATTTGAACACATTTATGTAAATCTAATCCAGATGTCTGCAAATATCTAGATAAGGGCCCTGTTATTGAAAATATATTCATATATAGATGTGCGATTAAGATAGTTTCATACTTTAATAATGGAGTTAATAAGTTATTTGCTTTTGATCGAATATCAGGTTTAAACGATTCATTTTTGGAAATTTTAGAAAGTGCAATAATTAAATCTGGATACATGACATTGTTAAATTTACCATAACTTCCAAAAATTCTATTCACAGCTGTTTGTTTAGCAGTCCACCTAGTGTCTGAAATAGATTGCAACCGTTTGTGACGTATGTTTTCATGTTCATTTTCGCTAATATCTCTCCATATGTTCATTCGTTGATACGATTCTTTAAAAAACAATGAACATGCATTGATCAATGAAAAGAAATTAACCACGGGAACTGGATTTTTAGTGGCATCGGTAATTACTAAATTTAATACATGGCTGAAACACCATACATGTATCTGTTCAGGAGCAACTTTGCTCAACCATGCAGTAAAGCCATTATAAACACCTTGCATGTTAGCTGCTCCATCTGTAGCATTACCAATGCATTTTTCTGGGTTAACTTTGACCTCTTCTAAGGCACTTTGCAATAATTCCATCATTCCTTTACCAGTGGAATCAGTACAACACTTCACTGCAATTAATTTTTCATTTATTGTCCCATTGGTAACATACCTTAAAACAATTGAACACTGATCCATTACAGTGACATCTTGTGTTGTATCAATCAAGACTGAAAACATTTGGGCTTTACTAATTTGACTAGATATTGTTTGCTTGATTATTGAAGAAATTGTTGATATTACATTGTTAATTGAATAATGACTTAGAAGCGATACAAAATTTCCTCTACCTTTAGATCCTTGCAAATGCATTTTTTCACTTTTGTTTATAATATTATTGATGTGTTCATTTAATACAGCATCATATTTACTTATGAGTATAATCATTTCTAAAAACGTTCCATGATCCAGAGTTGGATCTTTGAGAAAGTATGCCGCTTCATTTCGTTTTCCACGGACACTTAAGCCACGCTTTCCTATTACCTTACATACTTCTATAATTCTATCGAGAACTTGTCTATTTTTTTTTACTTCTTCTCTTTGTTGATGCATCTGATTTTCCATTAATAAAAAACCAACATCTCTCTTTTGGATATGCATGAAATAAGCTTCACAATATTGGTTATGAGCCTTACTATTTTCATGTTCAGAAATCCTTTGATAAATGTGTTTCCAATCACACATTCCATAAGTAAATGGATTTTTATCAATAGAAAAAGCCAAACAAACTGAACAAAACATCTTAACATTTGTCTCATCATATGTACACCAGCTTCGAATAGTTTGATTTTTTTCTATAAAAAGCTTTTCTACTTACAAATGGCAGAGTGGAATCGTCATGTAGTTGAACTGGATGAATCTTGAAAAAGTATTCTAGTGTATGATACTTTGGTTTCATAAAATTTGATGCAGTATTTTCAAAAATGGTATCTTTGCTCAGTACTATAAGAAATTCAAATAATAATTATTATTATTACTAAATGATTACAACAGTTTTTTAGCTGAGTAATTAAATTTTTTTTTAATGTTTACTATGTCTTATACTGTTTGGTATAAATTTAATATAGATATAGGTGGTAAAGTTACATAATTATGATTTACACCTTAGGTTTTAAGAGGAAGGAGTTGATAAATTTATCAGCCTATTAAGAATCATAAAGTAAAATGGCTATATAATAAGTATAATAAGTTTTATTTATTTTCATTTTTTAGTACACAAAATAGGTAAGTGGCACAAAAAGTTTTAATAATACCTATAGTTGAAAATTTTAAATTAGTTACCTATTACAACATTAATTTAGCAAGCTAACTAGTTTGTAACTAGTAGAAAAGTAAAAAAATAGTATTTGAAAAGTATTTAAAAAAAAAAAATTTGTTGGGAATTCTTAAATATTGTTTCTTAATTTTATTTTATTTATGAGCAATTTAAATAATAATAAAAGTTGTTAAATTTTTTTAAAATTATAAATAATCCTAACCATAAGTCATAACTAGTAAACTAGAACAGAGGTTCCCAACCCGTGGTACGCGTACCACTAGTGGTACGCGGAAGGCTCGTAGGTGGTACGCGAAGAAATTTTTTTATTACTATTTGCATTCAATATTATTTAATTTAGTTTATTTGATATTAGCTAATTTTATAAAATTATTATTTTATCAAAATAAATTTAATGTCGATAACATGGGGTTTGTAATCGTAGCAATTTAGAATTTTAGATAATCTATTCTTATCGATAAAGCGCATTCTTATAGTTTTAAGTGTTTTAACGTTTGTGTTATTTATATTATATTTTATATAATATGATATATTGATGACCTTGTAAAAAAATAAACAACAACAAATATCACATTAATTTTATTTATTTAATTTTATTATTATTTATATTTATTATTTTTTTTTATTAATTTGAAAATTGTAATTTAAAATTTAAATATTTAGATTTAACTAAAAATTATGATTTTTTTACTTTCATAAATATCAAATAATAAAAATGTAAAGAATTGAATGAATAATAAAAATATACGCTAAAAAAATTTGACTCCTAATTTAGTTTTAAAATTGAGGTGGTACGCGTATTGATTATAAAAGTGTCTGGTGGTACTCGATGATAAAAAGGTTGGGAACCCCTGAACTAGAACATTTAACTAAATAGTAAATAAAATACTACTTTTAAGGTAAACAAAATAACTTCCTAAGCACTTATAAGTTATAGTTAAAGCTAGAAAAATACTAAGCCTCAAAATTACATAAATTAAAAATTATTAATGCACTTACCTTCAGAACCTGAATATCCAGCCAACAATTGACGACTATCTTTGTTACCAGTCACCTCAGTAGGTGTACCTTTTAGAAAAAATGAATCTAATTGATTACATTTTTCAGCACATTTTGCAAGTAACTTCTTGTTTTTTTCACGATCTCTTTCTGCCCCTCCTTTCCTTTTTTTATTCATAATTAAAATATAATATCGTATGATCAATAATTAAAAACTTAAATTTTCATTAGAGAGCAAACAAATTAACATGTTAACAATAACTCTAGAATTATTAAAAGAAAAACGTGAATAAACCATAAATGACACCGTCGACACGCTCAACACCAGTGACCAGTGCACAAAATCAAACACTAACGACTAATTTGTTTGGATTTATTACAGATATTATTTATAAAAATAATAATGATCAAAGTAAAGGGACCAATAATACTAAATTAATATGTATTATCATTGGTTATTATAAATACTAGTATTAGACATTGGTAGTATTTATAATCAATGGTATTATTATTTATTAGTTATTATTAGCTATTAGTAATAGGCATTGCTATATTCGTCGCCACTCACACAGAGTACAGACTACAGATAAACAACTTGCAGGTTTCAACAGGCAGAAATTCGTCGAATCAGTAATTTATAATTTCTTAGTAGATACTCACTACTGTCTACTTAGTTCTGTTGGATTGAGCCGAGACCACACACTATCTGAGTGTTTTATTATAAAAATAACCATCCTATGTCAATATATTGCTTTGATTTTAATTGATGTCTATATTTATGTACCAAATATTTTGTAATTTTATATTCAAACATTTCTCATACGAGTATACGATTATTACGATTGTACGAGGCTATTGCAATGTACTAATATTGCTTTAATAATATTTCATACTAGTAATACAATAATTTGATAGAAACAAATGTTTGATGCATTTAGCATTTACTAATATTTTGTAAAATTAATTAAATTAAAAAAATAAATAAATAACAAAATGGCCAGGCCACCAGGCCATCTGGAAAATTCCCATTTCCAGACCAGCCACTCCGCCCCTGAGTATCACCACTACTACAATTGTTATGTACATGTCTATATTATTGTAAACTTATTGTAAACCTATTGTAAAATTATTGTACCGCGTACCGTATTATTGTATCGCTCCTTATCGCGTGTGCCAATCGTGTCCCCGACTCTGTCAACCGCGCTCCCCTTCCATCTTGTACGACTCGCCACGGTGTTAACGACGCCTCGCGCGACGCACCGACGAGTCATTTTCGCTTTTCTTGCGCCCAATCGCACTTCAGCAAACCTGACTACGATTTTCGTACCTCCATCGCCGCTACAAAACGTTCCGCGTAAAACCTCGTGACACCGTTACGCATCACACTCGCTTTTCTCTTTACTCGCATGTTTTGTATCTGTTTTGTCAGCTTTTCTGTCTGTTAAATAAATATCGTTTTTTGCAACGTATTTCATTAAATATATTTAATAAAACGACTACGTCGATCTTTTATACCTTGTCGCTAAGTTCGCGCAAGGCTTAACGTTCTTAACGAAAGTTGGTACCAAGGCCGTATCTAGGGGGGGGTTTTAGGGGTTCAACCCCCCCCCCGGAATGTTTAAAGTAGGTGTGTATTTATAATATAACTAAAACTAACTACAAACATGTACAATTTGTATTTATACATTTCCCAATTTCCCACTCGTCATTAGTCTCGTTATCTTAAATTTTAAAATTATCTAAAAATGACAAACTACGTACCTATTATGCTATCGAAATGATTTCGACAAAATCTCGTTGGACGACGGATTTTATCGGTTAATGAGTTTGAATGTATAATAATAAAAATAATATAATAATGTACGTAAACACGTAGTGGAAGGATAATCGATACGTGTCTCAACTCTACGGTTAATAACTACAATATTGTTTGTCAATTATGAATTTAGTCTGTTTTTCAGAAGTATTGAGTAATAATATAATAATTGTTTAACGTGTATTTCATTTGATTCTGTTTCTTAATATCTAACTACCGTGTATCTATTTACTGTTACATTATATTTTATACATTTCTTGAAAAATGAAACGAAGTATGTCAACTCAGTCGTCAATATTTAATTTTTTTCATAAGAAAAATAATCAAGGTGAATTAGATTCAGAATTAATTAGTACAGAAGAAGAAATTCCGTGTGCGTCTACTACTGAAAAAAGTGTACTGGAAAGTACTCTAGAAATACCAAAACTTCGAGATGTTGGACGGTATGTAAATGTTAGAATTACTGAAGATAAATTCAAGTACGATTTATTAAAGAATCCATGGCTTCCTTCTTCAAATTATAATTTTCCGGTTGTGTCGAAAAGAAAATTAAAATTCCAAATGTCTTGGTTATCACGGTTTTCTTGGTTAGTTTATTCGGAGAAATTAGAAGGAGCATTATGTAAAATATGTGTTTTATTTTCTAATGAGTGCATCGGAAAAGGTTCAAATCAAAAAGTGGGTGCTTTAGTAAGTAAACCTTTTATTAAATGGAAAGATGCTTTAGAATGTTTTAAATTACATAGTAATGCAGATTACCATAAATTGTCTGTTATACGCGCGGATGAATTTTTAAAAATGATGGATAGTAAAAAACCCGACATTTCTATAGCTATCGATTCGGCATATAAAAACCTAGTCTTGGAAAATCGTGCTAAATTGGTTCCAATTATCGAAACAATTATTTTTTGTGGTCGTCAGGAAATGGCATTAAGGGGAGACAATGACAGTGGACATATTTTTAGCAACAGTGATGATAACAACGATGGAAATTTCAGATCGTTGTTAAGATTTAGAGTGCAATCTGGAGATTTAACATTGAAAGCCCATTTAGAAAATTCAGCAGCTAATGCTGTTTACATAAGCCCTCTCATACAAAACGAGTTAATACATATTTGTGGTACATATATTCAGACTCAGCTAGTAACTAAAATTAAGCAAGCTGGGTTTTTTTCAATTTTAGCTGACGAAACTTGCGATATATCACGAATAGAACAGATGTCCCTATGTGTGAGGTATATTGAAGATTGTCGTATAAGGGAAGATTTTTTGACTTTTATTCCTATTTATGATGCATCAGGAAAAGGATTAGCCCATACAATAATACACGAAATAGACAAATTAGGTTTAAAAAAGGAAAACTTAGTCGGTCAAGGCTACGATGGCGCTTCTTCGATGAGTGGTATATATAATGGAGTTCAAAAAAATATATGCAATATAGTACCGCACGCTTTATACGTACATTGCGCAGCCCATTCGTTGAACCTTGCAATTAGTAAATCATGTAACATTCCTGAAATAAGAAATTGTATTGGATCTATATCTACAATTACTTCGTTCTTTCGAAAATCTCCGATAAGGTCAGATATTCTTAAAAAGTTCATAAAAGACCTAATTCCAGACACACGCCAACAAACACTTTTAAAAATGTGTGAAACTCGTTGGGTTGAACGCCATGATAGTTTGTTGCGGTTTAAAGAACTATACTTACCAATAGCAAATACATTAAGAGAACTCGAACATCATCATAATTTAGAAACATCGCAACATGCATTTCAACTCTCAAAAACGATTACGTCTAGTTCGTTTGTAATTTCATTGTACGTTACAGAAAAACTTTTTGCTATAACATTGTCTTTATGTAAATCTCTACAAAAAATAAATGTTGATTTATCCGAATGTTGTGCATATGTCAATAACTGTGTGCAAGTTATTAATTCAATTCGTGAAAATAGTGATGAAGAATTTCACAAATTATTTTTAGAAGTTGAAAACGTATTAAGTTTGGTAGATGAAACGGTTAAAACGCCACGATTAGTTAGGCAATCTATCTATCGTAATAATATTCTAGCAGATTCGCCAGAACAGTACTATAAGAGATCAATTTTTTTGCCATTTTGGGTACTTCATTAATCAATTAAATGAAAGATTTATAAAACACAATAACATTATTTCTGGTTTACAAAACTTGCTTCCATGTTTTCTTATTAAATTAAATGTAGAAAGCAATGAGTTTAAAAAATGCATTTATTTTTACAAAAGCTTTTTACCGACTTATGACACTTTAGAATCAGAATTGAAGGTGTGGATAGAGAAATGGAAATCGGTACCCGATAAAAAACTTCCAAAATCTGCAATCGATACTCTAGATGTTATGTCGAAGGACCTTTATCCAAACATTTGGTGTTTACTATCTATACTTGCAACACTTCCAGTGTCAACTTCGTCAGCAGAACGTACTTTTTCAACTTTAAGACGATTAAAATCCTATTTGAGGAATAGCTGCAGCGAAAATCGTCTAACAGGCTTAGCTTTATTGTCAGTCCACCGGAGTATTTCAATAGATATTGAAGAAATAATTAATATTTTTTCCAGAATGCCACGCAAGGTTGACTTTGTTTTATAATTTTTTATTAACTACTCGTATTAATACTATATATACTGTATACATTATAATATTATATTTTGTACTGTATAATATTAACATTAAAATAATAATATAATGATTTATTTTTAGTTCATGTATTAAAAATATTTAAACCCCCCCCCCCGAAAATTGACCCTGAATACGTGCTTGGTTGGTACTGACTGTTAATTAATTCGACGGCGTACCACAATACGGTATTTCTTATCACTTGCCGCCAAAGTTGTATTATCACCATTATTATTTACCACGATTAATCATGTTAACTGCTATTTACTACACAAGAGTACAAGACGTAGGTACCTACAACCAACACAAAAAATGGAAAAGGTTTATACAGGTTAGTAAAATGTAATTTATTTGAAAACATAAATGTCTATTGTTAGACAAATAAAACAGTTTTGTGCTATTATGACGAGCTCTGTACTAATCAGTATTACAACGTAGTACTATTCAGTATATTAGTTATGTATATATAATTGAAGACCTATCCAAGAGATCAGTGTATGTTACAAAAAAATTTTTTTCAGGAAATGAAAAAAACTGTATGGAGTACATTGAGATCGGTGTATGTGCATGTTTAATACTTATTATTGTTTGTTGACGCTGATATTATGTTACCTGAAAAAATTACGTTTCTACAGTAAAAAGTAACGGCAGTACAACAAAAGTACGCTAGACATCGGTGTGTGAGACATAAGTAAATGTTTAATTATTTATTTTTGACATGAATAATACAAATTTTAAAAAATTAATAATAATATAAACGTGATATTAGCGTTGGCTACAAAGTTCAGTATAGAAATCTTGGTACTTTGGATCCATAAATTCGAGCATTCGTAGTAAATTCTCGGCTTTTTTTTCATCTATTATACGGTTAGTCTTCACTTTCGGTAATACTGTAGGAATATTCTTCAGGTTTACGCCACGTTTAGCAACTTTTGTTTCTGTCCAGTTCTCTATCTCTCCATACGTGCGCTTGATTGACACCGATCCTTTAAGAAGCGACTGCATTGTAACTTTTATTCCAGTTACATTACTAATACCCATTTTCGTAGTATTGAGAAACTGTTTTGCCAGTAAGTTTAAATCGAAAATATCTCCATCTTCAATATCTACGACTGTGAATGAAGTGGTCAATTTCGAAGTTTTAATCATCTCTTTAATCTCGGACGGGACCATAGCGTTCACCAACTTTTTCCGTTTTTCTATCACAGCAAAATCTTGGTCACAGGGCATAAAGCTATGTCCTGAGACCAAGAATCGACATTCTACACTATTATACCAACCATTAGCTACCAAGTATATCATGGCAAGAACAAACATTTTATTTTTGTTTTGCCCAGCGCAATTATCACACCAAATCTGAATGTTTTTTTTGGTTGTTATCCCAGATGTGGCTACTTTTATAAGACACGAACCGATTTCATTGGCTCCACGACTAGCGACTCCTTCATGCCAGACACACCTATAGCTTTTTTTTTGTATCTCCAACATGCAGTCACAGATTGTACACAGAAAGTTGTCGGCTGTAATACATCTGGTTGTGAGTTAATGTAGGCACAAACAGAACCTTTTCTAAATCTAAGGAAAGTACTAACATATTACTATCTGGTTCCTGAGCATCCTTCATATTATTGAACATAAATTTTTTCGCTTTTTCTGCTTTTCGCAGATGTAATTCCTTCTCTTTAATAACATTCAAATCAGGCGTCGTTTTCTCCTTAACTTTCATTTGAAATCGGTCGCAAGTCATACAAGTATCGGTTCGCGGTCGCCGGAAAGATAAATCTGGAAAATACTTGCGAAAAGTACGGCGATAAAATTGAATTGAAATATTTGAACCAGGATATTGTAATTTGTATGCGTTATATAATAGCGAAATATTTAGACCTGGACTCAAAAGTTCTTTACTATTTTTAGAACGAGAATAATGTGATTCTTCTCTTGGAAATTGCATCACATGCATTATAACAGAATTCCTACTTTCTTCTCCATATTTACGTCGATGTTCATGAGATTTTGGGTTCTTTCCGCTCTGACTCACAAACGATATCTCGCCCTTTTTCACGTGCTCAATTAAAAGCTGCAGTCTACTATTCGATAAAGAGAATAAACGCATAAATGTCCGTTTACAAACCTGAATCAAGTCCTAATTGCCCGGCACTGTATATTTTACTGAACACTGTCTACGGCTGCTATCAGGAATTTCTTTTTTCGACTTTCTACGCCGCTGAATACTGACCATAGTAAGTCTGCTCAACAGGTAGTCTGCTTGTTGTTTATAAGATAATGCTGCAAACTTTTTACGAGTCGTCTTGATACGTTCGATAGTCAGTCGTTTGCACTCGTAAGAGCATTTACAAACAACCTACAGAATACAGAATATAGTGTAATCAAAATAGTTTAAACATCATGGTCGTAGGTACATATTAAGTAGATATGTTATATATTATATATTATGATATATTATAGGTTATTAAGTAAGTAGGTACTTACTGTTGACTCGGGTTGGCATTCTGTAACTTTTTTAGTTTTTTTCATATTTGACATGGCAAAATATATTTTATAACTATATATTGAATACTATATTATTAATTATTAACGTCTGTCTAATTAAATTGAGAAAATAATCATCTGAATTAAAGTAAATCGTAGTCAAAGTTTTAATGCATAGACTAACCTATTAATGCGTATTATATCAGATGTAACATAAACCGATTTCAATGAACGTCAACAACTACACATACAGAAAAACCACCTTGTAATCTATTTTTGGAGTGCTTAATGTACACTTTTGAAAAAAATATGTACCTTAATGTGTTAGCAACATTGAGTTTTATCAATTTACGTAAAAAAACGATTTTTGAAAATATTGTAACATACACCGATCTCTTTGATAGGTCTTCAATTATAAACATTTTAATTTATTTTAGAATTAAGAGAAATGATTGTTATGCGAGATCCTCCACAGACTCCAAGCAATTCAAATTTAACCACAGTTGAATATACACATTGGTCTAGAAATGTGACACTCGGACTGATTGATGAATATAGTAAAAACTACAAAGACGTAGGAAGTAGAATTGGAGTTACAAAATTTTGTATGAAATAATTGCTGAGATCTTAAACACTGAATTTCAACTAAAATTAACAGGGTCACAAGTAAATAACAAATTTCAGACGTTAACCCATTTACGGCCAATAATGTAAAAAGTTGAAAAAACTTAATTTTTTTTAATAATTTGGGATATTTATGGTGAGCTCATGACAAATTTATTTTTCAAAAAAAATCTTTGTTCAATTTCTTGGAAAAAAATGTTGCGTACACGCAACGTTGGCTGTTAATAATGAATAAAATCGTAAATAAATATTTTTTAATTTTTATACAAATATTTAGTACACAAATATTATTAACACAAATGTTTTAATTTGTTATTATTTATGAATGTATTTTGCACGTTAGGAATAATTATAAAGTTATAAATTGTATTTATGGAATATTTAATTTTTAATTACAAATAATAAAAAATTGAAATAAGTTGATTTATTTATCATGAAACATAGCAAAGCAGTGTGGATGAAGAGACACAATACATTTTCTGCAAGAATAAATTGTTTGAGAAGAGCAATGGCGACATCTTCTTCTAACCTCATCTTTGATAATAATGTGATCCATTCCGTCTTTTCTAATAGCATCTGGGAGACTGTTTTTTGAAGGTCGACCTAAACTGACGTTACTAGTTGTGGAAAGTTGAGACTCATCTTCATCATTGTTTTTGTTGCTTGTTTCAACTTTTAATAAACATAGTACTCTCTGATCTGAAGTCAAGCTGTGGAACCTTTTCTTTATTTACTAAGTTGTAAAACTTCCATGCATTGACTATCGTGCTATCCACTGCATTGCTAAATAATGGCCATCACCATTTTTTGCCTCGTATTTTTATTCGATAGTTTGCAATGCCGTTATCATGGAGGTCTACGCCACCCATATTTTTATTATAATTATAAATCATACTTGGCTGTTGTACACTTATAAGCTTTTTCTGTTTCCTATCATAACGTTTAGCAGCATGTATGGGTTCTATGGTGTCTACGTTAGACATCATTGTAACAACAGCATTGTCACACCAACGAACTGCACCTATTCCATTCTCACTGTCAAAGGTGAAATCAAAAGTGCCTTTGGGTTCTTTAGCCATTAGTTTGATTGATTTCAAATTACAATTTCCTGTTCGATTATACCAAACTGTCCCAGTTGCAAAAAAATGTTTTTCTTTCAACATAAAAAGTAATTTATAACTTGTAAAGAAGTTATCAAAGAATATTCTATGAAGCTGTGGTTGGTCTACTATTTCCAATAAACCTAAACAACCTCCGAACCAAGAGGTAAACCATCCACTCTTTTTGTACTAGCACCACCATAAGGTAAAAATTTATACAAATAGCCATTCTCAGATGTCAAGCACCACAACTTGAAACCAAATCTAACAGGTTTCCCTTTGATGAACATTTTACAAGAATGCCGACCAAAATATGGCACCATTTCTTCATCAATTGAAAGATTATGAGAAAATATTCCGAACTGAGAAAACTTTTCATTCAATATATTGAAAAAAGGTCGCAACTTAGCAAATTTATCGGTCAAATCAAGGTTTTTATTGTCAGATAAATGTAAATTTTGTTTTATATTTTTAAATTTGTTCTTCGACATTGTTTTCCTTACTAAAATTATTTCTTTGTCTTCATCTTTTGACCAATAGTTTTCGATTTTTGGTAAACTATGGTAACCAGTTAAGATCATAATACCGATAAATTTTAATAAATTTGACTTTCCTAAAGAAAAGTTATGTCTGTTACAGTAGGTAGCATATTTATTTGAATTATCTATTATGAGATTAATAACAGTATCATCGAAAAATAATAAAAAACATTGCAACACGTTGGTCCCACCATAATTTTCAACTAATTGGGCAACACATTTTTGTTCTTCGTTAATGGGTACATCATTATAGTTGGGGTGCATTTTTGATTTCCTTTTAGGGAGTGTTTCCCTACGTTTTTTGGAAGGATTTGGTTTTGAAGTATTAACTGCACCAGAACTTGTTAAAATTTCAAATGTTCCACGCACATCGTGTGGAACGTCAACAACATCGTTTATAGCCACATCATTATCATCGAAATGTTCTTCGTCAGTCAAACTATCTACATTGGGAGGAATTATATGTCAATTGATTCATTATCTGAAATACCTTCAAGTTCATCCAGAACTTCAGCGATGTGTTTGGACGATTTTAGACTCATTTCAACGATAAAAAGAAAAATATCTTTAGACCGAATAAAATAATAAGATAGTGGGTAAAATATATTACAATTACATAATTACGTAATCACTTTTACAGATATTTAGTGTATGTTTTCATAATTATTCTATAAAATGTAGGTACTATACTAGCTTATGTATAATTAATAATAATATAATATGTGAAAACTTACCAAATATTAGCTAATACGACTACTACAATCACAAGAGACGAAATAAGACGTAAAATTCGGTGAATTTCGGCCGGTGACTAATTTATTACATCCAAATATAATATTGTTCAAGTATGTAGGGATATTATTATAGTTTTAAATGTTTCAATACACACAATCCGTACATTGATAAGATAAAAACAAGGCAAAAGCATCGTAAAATTATTATTACAGGAAAAACCAACGTGTGAGCTATTTTCTACGGCACATAGTAATTTCAAACAACGGTGTTCGATAACTTTAAAATTCTATACTATAAACCGCCATCGTTGCGTACACGCAACATTAATTTTGAAGGGTAGTTTGAAACCTAAATGATTAATGAATGATAATTCAGCTCATAGGGACACATCAAATAACATCATAACATATTGATTATTACATTTGATATACCAAATATTTCAAATTCAAATTTTAATTCATTTTTTAAGTTCAAAGTATTTTGTACATAAAAACTCTCTTGCTTCTGATACGTATAATACATATGATATAGATAAAAAACAATAGCTCATGATTGTTTTTCATTATTTATTGTCTTCTTAATCGAATAATGTCACAGTTAAATAAAAAAAATTAATAAGTCTAATCTAAAAAAAATGTTAAAATAAATGTTGCGTATACGCAACTATGGCCGCTAATGGGTTAATAAGATCTTATAAAGCTGTTCTTGATAACAATAAAAAAAACCGGAAGAGGGAGGAAATATTTTAAATTTGAAGAGCAGATGGATAATATATTTCACAAATCCAAAAGAATAAACCCTGAAATTTTGTTGACAGAGACTGAGATTATAAGAAATACTCCTAGAGCCTGTAATGACACACCAACACTACAAAGAAGTGTACATGAAGTGATTGATGAATTAGATGAATTTATAAATAAAGCTTCTGGGTCTGTTGAAGATGAGAGGAAAACAGCAGTTAAAAAAACAACCATAAATTTGAAGAGAAAAGGAACCAGAACCGATGTACTCGAAGGTATAAGAAGCGACAAACAAAAATTTTATGAAAATTACATTCAAATTCAAAATTCAAAAATTGCTGAGCAAAAAAGGAAAAATGATTTACTTGAGGAAAAAAATAAGCTGCTCAAGGAGTACTTACTTAACAAATAATAGTAGATAAATCAAACATTTATTTAACTGGGATTAGAAGCTAAATGTGTTAAAGGTTTTTATTGTTATTTTTAATATTTTTATTATTATTATTCAGACTGAATTTGTTTTTTTTAAATATTTATGTATTAATAAGTCAATCATAGAAAGAAATAAAGATTCTCAAATTTAAATATAATGTTATGTAATATTTTCTTAATTTTTGATTAAATATTCTAAATTAAGTAGACTTTTACTTAATAAAATAAATAAAACTACACACAAAAAAAATACAAATTAAACTGTTGTTTTATTTAAGCTATGGAAACATTCTTTGCATTAAATAGTTTCTGTAGGTTGTTCCTTCAGGGACATCTTCAGCATTGTCATCATCCAGTTGAATGTCATTGCCATTATTAATTTCATCCTCATTTTCAATTATTATTTCAAATTCATCGTCAATTGCCAAGTTATGCAATACACAACAAGCTCTGATGAAATGTACTGTATGCTCAATTTTGCGCAACTTGCAGTGGTAAAATTGCCTAAACTTCTGCTTGAGCAAACCAAAACAATGTTCGATAACGTAACGACATGATGATAGTGTTTTGTTGAAGTTAATTTGTTGACAGCTCTGTCTACCATTATCCTTGAATGGTGTTATAAGATTGCGTATTGCGTAAGCAAGAATAAGCACTATCTCCAAGAATCACATTCTCCTGACATAGAATTCCCAAGTTAGTAGCTAATGGTGACTTCCTAAAAACTCTTGCATCATGGACTGACTCAGGAAACCCAATAAATATACTTCTTATTTTATTTCTATGGTCACAAACAGCTTGCATCTGTAAACAATATACTTATAATTAAAATTCTGTAAGAAAAATAATACATACAAAAAAATACATACATGAATAGAAAAATATTTTTTCCTATTATAATAGGAATCTGGGTCTAAGGAAGGCTTGTCAATACGTATATGACTTCCATCAATAGCCCCAATGACATTAGAAAATCCTATCATTTGAAAAAAGTTCCTTGTTTCCTGTTTTTCTTCCTCATTCGGCCAAGTTATTATGGTACTAGCCATACGGCTTATAACATAAGTCAGACGTCTCACAACTCTAAATAGGCTACTTATTGTTATACCAAACCTGTCAGCAACATCACGGAAAGAGGCAGTCTGATGTCCAGCAAACCAAGGAAAAATTAAAATCTAAAAACAATTTAAGATAAGTTTCAGAATCAAAATAATAATAATCATTATTGTTGTTAAAGCAATACCTTCATAATATATATTAATTTAATTTAATTTAATAATTCATTTTACAGACTTAATAATTAATATTTAATTTAATACATAATTTAACACCTTTATTTATACAAATAAATTGATAAGGTCTATCTTAGATAATAATAATAATGAAAATTTATTTGCAAAACAATATGAGACACATTATATAAATACAATACATAAATTAATTAGATGCAGCACCCCCCTAAAAGCAAAGCCTGTGCTGGGGGAGCGGTTCTTATATTATATTAACTTAAAATTAATACATAAAATAATAAATTAGTAATAGACAATAGCATATTTTATGAAGTAGCAAAGTATAGTTATTTAATATTATAAACAGAGTAAAAGATAAATAAAAGTATGAAGAACAAAAACATATTATATTTAAAAGCATAAAAGGTATTAAAGTTAATAAATGAAGTATATAATAGACAGATCAAGCCTTTTTACATAATTATTGAATGACTCCAAATTACTAAAATGGTTAATGTTAATATTTAAGGTTAGACATAGCTTTAGACCGTTATATAAAACACTCATTTGACCAAAAACTTTATTATAATGAGGTAGGCTTATATTTATATGATGTTTATATCTTGTATAATGTTCATGGTCAAGAGATAAGTTTTATAAATTAATTTTTTAATCCTATTTACAATATTAGAATTTAACTCTTATCTTAGGACTTTAGGTTAGAGAAAATAAGTAACTTGATAGTGACTTACTTGGTTGTAGGCAGGTATTTTTCCGTGTCCTCCAGTTGTGTCATTAAATTCCGGACTGGCCTCAAAGTGTATGGTCAAATTATTTGCAATGTGGCGTCTAACACGGAAAAGTTCCAAAAACTCTAAGTCATTGTATCTAAAATAAAAAAACTAAATATTTATGTTGCCAAATAAATATTCAGCAACAAATTTACCAAAACTACCCCTAGGTTTTAGAAAAATAAAAAAGTTACAATTTAAACCCGAGAGGGGGATGTTTGCTTACCATGTGTTAATTATTCAACATGGAAAATTTATAAATATTAACTTAAATGTAATTATAAAAAGCTTACTTACCTTGCTACAGTCTCAAAATAATTCTGATTTTTCGGTTTTGTTCTGTGTTCAAAATAAACTTCGTCGTCGCTATCAAATAAAAATTCATAGTCGGACGATGATGAAAAGGATGAGGAGTTGATAAATTCAAAATCCATCTCAAAATGTCAATCAATAAATAAAATAAAAATATAAAAAAGTATTTTAAGCTAACTGTCAAAACAAGATAACTATCACAATAATTAATATTTTGCATTGTACGCATGCGCGAAACATTTGACTTAACGTATAACTCGTAACAGAAAATTGTTTCCAACAAGTCGATAACATGTTGCAGCACTGATGGAACAGAAAACATTTTGTTGGATGTTTTAAATTTGCTCTGCTAGAACACGTTTTTGACATTGCGCATGCGCTGAACATTTGCAACCACTTGAAACACTATGCTGGAACAAACCTATTACCACATTCGAAAATATCTATTTATACTCAATTATTTTAGTAAGAAGTATAAATATGTAGACGCACAACTATTTATATAATAAATTGCGATAATATTATATTATGATAGGAGCTAGGAACTATGAGCTATTAAATTTAATGATTTAATCTTTAATGGTAATCGTATTTGATTAGTCCATGACTTTGAATGTTCGTGAATATTGTTTATCGTTAAGCGTTGGTTGAATTTTCAAAATGAATTCTTACTCGTGTGCTTGTGGAAAAATTCGTGGTGAATTAAATAAAACCAATTGGACTCGACATTTAGTGTCATGTCGTAAAAAAAGAAAAATTTCTAATTTTAATTATACTAATGTTACAATAACATAATTTTTAAACCACCAGTCAACATTTTAGCTAATACTAACATTGATACTGCAAATCTATGTGAAATAAGTGAGTACCTAATATTTCATACATATTTTATTTTAGCTAGTAAAATATACATTCTAATATAAATAGTGTTTTCTAGAATTTATTATTTAATTATCTAACATGCAAATCGCTACGTGCCCGCCGACGGTCATCTGGCTACTGGTGATAACATTAAAAATGTGGTCGCCGGCTGCTACGTTACCCTATTACCTATACGCCATGTGATCGCGGGCTGTCACAATCTTGTATATTTTCAAATAGACTTTATTATGCTGGCGCTGAAGTAATGATATGTATGATATTGTTGCGTCCCTTATGTCAACGTCGATTCATATATCAACGTAGAAATAGAAATACTAATGTTTGCAAGTTAAAAGATTAAGTCTTTATTTAATACAATTAACTCGTACAAGAATACAATTTTATAAGCACAAGATGGTGTGAGTGGTGTTACGACCTGCCTCTGAGCGTCTCGAATATCCCTAACCGTCTGCTGAGCTCTTGCCCCGGTCTCCCTTATATATGGTTAACCGTCAAGAGTGGTGACTGAGGAGGTGGCGACTTTCGATGACCTAAAAGAGCTCTCTAAATTAAATGTATTATTCAGTTGGGTGCCTTTCCTGCGATTTCATCGGTTCTAAGAATTACAAGACGTGTAATCAAGTCTTAATTGTCATATTAAATAGTACAATGTTAACACTATTGTTTATTCATCATTTCTGAGAAGTCCAGGACGTGTGACTATGTCTTATTCATTATATTAAATATCACGATGTGCAGGTGTTCGCCCTATCCATTGGTGCTACACTGTTTGAATATATTATCCCATCGGTATACACATCACCTCTCCGTATAATATATATGTGTAAAATAACACGGTCCAAAAATCCCTACTGTAAAAGGTGGGCGACTTATTGTGGTGCACGCAGGGTGTGCAAATTACGGGTTCATTCCGAATGCAAAATTGGTTTTCCGGAGTAATACTGGTAATTCTATGGATTACCACAGCCAAATGAATTCGGATGTGTTTAAATCTTGGTTCACCCAAATGTTGAACAATCTTGAAGAACCGTCGTATCATCATAATGGATAATGCATCATATCATTCAACTCTCATAGATAACTATCCAATGAGCAATACAAAAAAAGTAGATGTACAGGATTGGTTGACTAAAAAAAATATCAAATTTTCACCATTAGAAACGCTAGCTGAACTTAAAATGAGGGTTAATACCAACCGAAAAAAAATATGAATTAGATCTGTTTCGCCAACACCGGACTTACCTAAATTGGCTCGTGAACGGCGATGACTCACGCTCTGATAGGGAAAAGGTGAGAGATACAAATCTTCTTATAATATAAAACCAAAACGAGCTTTCTGGGTTTTTTTGACAAAGTTCTCTGGTTTAGTGTACTGACCAATCGAAAAATTAAAATTTTTTCTTAACGTCGTTAACTGATATCTCCTGCGCGCCGTTATCGTTATCTCCCGCCGCCGTCGTTATCGGTCGTTATTATTTGTTTTTATTATATCGTTTTTCCGCTTTTCCGGCCTTTGGAGAACTCTTTCCGTCGCGTTCTCGACGCTTTAGTCCGGAGCGGGTCTTTTTCGTTCGGATTCGGTCCTCGGCCGCCCGCCGACGGATGTCGCCCGTTTTTCTTCGGTTTTTCTCTCCGCCCCGAATCGGTTTCGCCTTTTTCGCGTCCGCGCGTTTTCCGATTGTTCGGAACGCGTCTCTTGCGAGCCCCACGTCCCCGAATTCCGTTCGCGACCGTCGCCGTCGCGTCCGGAAAACGCGTTCTCGCGGCGCGTTCTCCGGTCGGTTATCGTATTGTCGCGTGTGTACTACTGTTTTTTTTTTTTTTTGAGATTCGATAAATCATTTATCTTTATATCGAATACGCGTCGTTTAGTTTTCGGTGTCTCCACCATCGGACGCCTTCGCGACTTCATCGGTACTGTCTCGACGGCGTACGAAATACGATTTATTATGTGTATAAAAAAGAAACGGGCGTCGGGTTTAACCAGGGCCGTGTTAAGCTTTTTGGCGCCCATGGGCACTCATTTTTAAGCGCCCCAGTCCCCTCCTTTCTTAATATCATCCATTTATTAACTACCTCGCACGTTATTTAGTATTTTAGGTATATGAAAAACTATAGGATGACTTTTTTTTTTGGAGTCTCCAAAAGATTGTTATCTATATTTTTAATTGTCTGATGATCCTGATCCCTAATGTTGTGTTGACACAAAAAAAATATAACTGAAATGGCTAATTTGGTTAATTTAAAACAATAACAATACTTAAACATAGATTTAGTGGGTAATAAGTTTATTAAGCTATCATATAGTTATAATGTTGAAAACTTTATCTAAATTTTATTTTATTTTATTCAATAAAATTGCATTACAAAAACAAATTATAACAATTTTTTTCTTGCTTTCCCTTTAGCAAATAAGACTGATAACTGTGAAATTTTTTCATTTGATAATGATGATTGAAGGTATGTTTTAACTCTTTTAAGAACAGAAAATGATCGTTCGCCACTTGAGTTAGAACATGGCAAACATCTAAATATTTTTAATGCAATTTCTATTGATGGAAATGTAGTGATTATAGGAGAAGTTGTTAATGCTTTAAATAAAATATGTATGGATGTTTTTTGATTTTCTGGCATACATGAAAATATTGCCTTAAACTGAATAACCTCTTCGATGAAATCAGCATCCAGATCTTCTTCATATGTCTTCACTAAAATTTCTGCTTTAACTCTTAAATCTGTATTATCTATCTTTTCTAGCATTAAAAAAAAACCAAATTTTTTATTTATTTTACTATATGCTTTATTTTGGCTGTTCAAATTAGTTATTAAAGCATCAATAATAGGAATAAATGTTTGATTTTTGATTTTTTACTTTTTCTGTAAAAACAGTTTCTTCAGCATTGTCTTCATCAAAAAACACAGTCCTTCGTGATTGTCTTTTTGACTCATTGGGGAACATATCTTTTTTACAAATACACATAGCTTCATTTAACAGAATATCAAAATTATTTCTTAATTCAGAAATATATAAATTTAGTGATTTGTATAATACTACCACTAATGACAAATCAATATCAACAAATTGTAAGCTTTTACTAGTCATGTTGAATCTTTCCAAAATTGGTGTCCAAAGAACCAACATAAATATAAATTCTAAATTTTCAATTTTTTTATTAAGTGCTATAGCTTCATATATTGTAGCAGGTCGTTGACTTATATCTTTTGATATTTCTTGTAAGGCAGCAATAATCCCAGGATAACCATTTTTGATAGATTTACATACCGCATATCGAGATGACCATCTAGTTGGACATAAATTTTTTAGTAGTGTTGAATTTGGAACATCTTTTAATTGATTTTCTAAGATTTTCCAACGCGATGTAGATCCAGAAAAAAATGTATATAAATTCTGAGTGGTCATGAAAAAACGGTTACCAATGCTTGTCGCTTCAGCGGCAAATGTACCGACTAAATTCAATGAGTGAGCGGAACATGGCACAAATTCAGCTGTAGGGGATTTCTTTTTTATTCTGGCTTGTAATCCGTTATAAATTCCTGCCATATTTTGTGCGTTGTCATAACTTTGTCCACGACAATTTTTAATATTTATATCTAGATTAGACAAAAATGTTAAAACAGCACACTCCATTTCTTCTGCCTTATGACCAACAGAAGGTAAAGATCCCAAAAAATGTTCAACAGGTGAACCATCAAGCATTGTATATCTTACTGCAACTGTCAGTTGATCAATTTTTGACATATCTGGTGTTGAGTCAACTATAATAGAGAAATACTTGGAAATTTTAATTTCTTGAATTATTTTATCTAGAATAGTTTTACTCATGGCCAAGATTAACTCATCACAAACTGTATTTGACAAATATGATACATTTCCTGTGCCTTTATTTGCATACTTATTAATATGTGTAGAAAGGAATGGATCAAATTTAGCAAGTAATTCAATAAATCCTAAATAATTTCCATTATGGCAAGAACCTAGGGTTTGATCATCACCTCTAAAGGCAAGACCTCTTGTTGACAAAAACTTAATAGTTTCAACTAAACGATGAAGAACTTCTCGCCAGTAAGATTCTTCTTTAAGTATTTCAATTTTTTGTAATTTATCAACAGTTTTTAAGTTCTGAGATTGTTTTGAAAACCATATTTGTATAGATTTAAGATGAACAGGATTTTTTTTCATGGTTTTTTACCTGATCATTACATTTCTTCCAATTAATTTAACCTTTTCCTTCTGATCTAAAAGCAGTTTTATTTTTCCCAAAGAGAAGACAATAAAAACAAAATAGAGAATTTTCAGAATGAGAATATAAAAGCCAATCTCGAAACTTGGTTTCACCATTATGCAATTCTTTAATGAATACATCCTGAGAGAGATATCTATAATATTTACCAATCATACGTTTAGTCAATTTGAACTTGATACTGTCTAAATTACATGATACTTAATTGTGTACCAAATAATTGATTGTATCAACATTTATAACCCATTTAGCTGGATCAGTTTCAGAAACATTATTTTTTTCATCATCAAGTCTATCTGTCATCTCTTCTGTGTAAATTTGATCCTAAATAACATAAATTATAATTAGGCTATGTTTAATATATTTTTTAGAATGACTAATAAGTATTACACTAAAAAAAAATAATAATCAATATATTTTCCTTAAACTAATGAAGTTATCAGAAAAAAAATAAAATTAGTTCTTACTTACATTACATATGTCAATCAAATCTAGCTTCATTTTTGTTGATTCCTGAACAAAAACAGTAGTAAGTTGTTCATCTGTGACAATGAAAAAATGTATGTAAATGAGTAATTTATATTATATCATTTTATTTAAAACTAAAGAATTTTTAATGTATTATTTCTTATTAGCAAAAGTATACCTACCTTAAATATTTTAAATGTTAGTTTTAAAAAGTTAATGATTAATTCATGACCATTAAGTTGTTGTTAAAAACTATATTCATATAATCATATAATTTTAATGAACTTTTTAAAAGAGGAGTTATAATTGTATTTTACTTACAATTTGAACTTTTTGATAAATCATCAACAGAACAATAAGGAACAATACATTTTTCAGGTTCACAAGTTAATATGTGTATATTTTACACGTTATAACTTATTACATTATATATACTTAATTAAAAATAAAAACCAATTATAGTTATTGCTAACAGTCTGCACAATTCAAATGTAGGTACATATGTGATATGCAATTATATATATTGATGACAATACAGTTGTTTCACTCAGTTTTGACTGTGAATTCATTATTTTATATGTTTAGCCTTACAATTGTTTACATTTGAATGGTACAGGGGAAAAACGGTAGTAGTCCATTTTTTTTTTTGTTTTTTAAATATTTTGTCATCACAGATAGTACATTATATTTCTTTTCGATATCTAACCATCTTTAAAATATCAAAAAAAATATTAATTATGTATAGTTTTTTGATCTTCAACTCGCTAACGTTTGACATGCATTTTCCATAATACGTTTAAAATTTATATAAATTATAAATAAATAATTTATATTAAATACGTTTAACTGGATTTTCAATGGTAATCGCTTGAGAAATCGAGCGCTCGATTCGATTTAAACTTTTTTGCGTACTAAACAGTACAACGCCTTCGACGTCAGGAGATATGACAATCCTTCGCAGGCGGATTGCCCTGTCAGGAATCCATATTCACTGGACGATGACTGATAACTAGACACTTAATTACCTTTTCGGAATGTATTTATTTATTTTCCATGCACAAAATCACAGGGCAAGCTACGGGACAAGGTGTATTACACATGTGAATTTAATGAAATGACCTACCATTAGACGCTCGAATTGGGATTTTATTATTTACGCGTTTAAAACGACACCGCCAAAGTGTAAAACCACCAAATCAGAGGTACCAACATCTCAAATATCGTTATCACTGGTTTTGCCTACTAGACTTTTCTAATTGCTGTATATTAAAGTCCTGTCTCCTATCTAGGAAATTCACTTCAAACGATTTTCAGCTACCAAGGATATTGACATACAGCGAATTTTACCTACCCTAGGGTATTCACCAGTGGCGAATCTAGTTGGAGGGTGGGGGTGGTCATAATACCCCCCCAATAATTGGTTTTTTAACTTTTGAGGTGGCCAGTTTACATTTATGAGAAACTCATTAACTGTACATAATGGCCAACTGATAATTTGTAATATTTGTATACGATTGTGATAGTAATATAGACTAGAATCAAGGTTATTAGAATATACTAATATGTTATTATTATATTCTAATACTCGGTAAACTGTCTGGACTATAATATATAGAATAATAAAACTTATTGTCTATTATTGGAAAAATATGCTTTAAATTGTTATCAGTGCGTCAGTAATAACATGGCTATAATATATATATATCCATGGTAAAAACAAGAGGGATATGCAGACATGCAGTCGTGGTGAAATAGATTATAAATCCAAATGTTAATGATACCACATACTATAAATAGCCAACCGTTCGTGGTTGACTTGATATCTTTTACGGCATCTAATTTGTTATATATATTATAATATTGTAAGTATTGCAGGCTAGCGGACACCACTATTATTTACAATAATTTACGTCACGTTATGAATGTTACGATTATCTGTAATGTGTTGATTTGAAAAACATAAATATAATAATAATTGTCCAGTTATACATGTGTCTTTACTTATATTTTTATAATAAATAATATTTGAATATTTCATAGAATATTGAATATTATTTATATCGTTTTATTTGTTGTGCATGTTTTTTGAAGAAGACAATAATTGTATTATAGGCTACAGCCATTAACAGGTAATTATTTTTATATTATTTCTTCAAATTTTTATTTAATTCACATGGCATAAGACATGGTTATAAAATGAATTTAAAATTATAATTAATATATCACATAATATGTAATAAACTATTTGCCTTTGAATGTTCATTATATCCTTATTATATCGATTAAGTTTAGTTTCTTCATTTAACTATAATGTAGGCAATACTACAGGTATTATACTTATTCGGTATAATATCAATAGGTTAGTATATCCATAATTAAAATAATATACTTAATTAGATATCTACCTCTTAAAAGTGTTACATATGGGGAAAAGGAGAAAAGTACAATGCGAGTCTTGTGGAAGCATTTTTAATAATGACTTTCAAAAAAAGCATGAAAATGCTCTTCATGGTGGAAAACGAGTTAAAATAAAAGTACCTGGAGCTCCTGCTAATCCATTTTTTGCATCTGTGGGTTCTAATAATATGAAATCAAATTTATTGAAAAATGTAAGTTTTATATTGCTTGTTTTATTATTAAATTATTTGATAGTACTTACTACCTACTAATATAGCCAATTATATAATATTTATGTTTAATTTTAATTTTTAATTTATAACAAAAATTTTATTATTTTAAACATTATAATTTTTAACAGCAGGTACCTTGCATGTATAGTATATAATATAATTTTCCATCTATTAAATAAATACAAATTTATTTAATACATATTTTATTTGTCTAGGTTAATTCAGAACTTGCATTTAAAACTTATGTCCTAGTAGAAAAAAATGATATGTCAACTGTTGCTAGCATTAATATGGATGACGTTAGACTCGACGTCAACAATAGCCAACATGTAAATTTATTGGAAAATGTAAGTACCATACTTTATTTGACAACATATAATTTATTAAAGAAAACTTTGAAATTGTACATAGGTTAATTTAAAATATTTTCCATCAAAAACTACTAAATGTGAAAATAGTGAAGCTAACAATTTAACAGATAGTTTATTGAATTGTGTTGGACAATTCAGATACCTTTTTGATTATATAAAACTATGCAAAAATATTATTCACGATTTCCAAGAAGCTGAAGTATTAAATCCTTTCAAAATAGTAGTTGCAATTAAAGAAACTATAGATAAAATTATAAAAATTTCAAATTCTGTACTAGAAAAATGTAATGATGTAACAGCACAACTTGAGAGTCAATCCGGTAATGTATCAGAAATAGAAGTGATTAATAGTGTAGTTGAACATGATCCAGGAAAAAGAACAAAAATTATTTCTGATAATCAACGTCAGTATTTGATAATGTTGGGGCCTCATCAACTAAAGTTGAATGTGTATCCACGAACAGCAAAATATAGTTTTAAATATTCATGGTTTGAAGGATTCCCACATTTAGAGTATAGCATAGTTAAGGATGCAGCATTCTGTTATGTTTGGTCTCTTTTTCCTTGTGGTGCTGGACGGGAAAAAAGTGAAAATAACTGGACTGTTATAGAAGTGAAAAATTGGAAAAAAATGAAAGGCATTAATGGGACAAACAACATTGGAAAGTTAAAAAAACATTTTAATTCTGAAACACATAAAGCAGCACTTTATGAGTTTTGTCATTTTATGAACAAAAATAATCATATTGACATAATGCTTGATAAAAATAAAAGACAAAAAATCATCCAGGAAGAAAGAGATCATGCTTTTCACACTTAAGTAATATTATTTGAAGTTGCCAAAACACTCGGTAGACAGAGTTTAGCATTTAGAGGTTTCGCTGATGATGAAAATGGTAATTTTAAACAAATAATTTATCTCATATCAAGACATTGTCCATTATTGAAAGAGTGGTTAGATTCTTCTAGATTTAGACCATATCATACCAGTTATATGAGTCCCAAATCACAAAATGAATTTATTAATATTCTAGGAAGTTCAATAAAAAGCAATATTTCAAAAACAGTTAATAATGCTAAGCAATTTGCAGTGATGGCAGATACAACACCAGACTTATCACATAAATTTATTTTATCTGTTGTAGTCCGCTTTGTTAATGATAAAGGAAAACCAGAAGAAAGATTGCTTGAAGTCCGTGAAATTGTAGACAAGACAGGCAAAGGAATGGCTAATGAAATCTTAGAAACATTATCTACTAATAATTTAGATCTTCAAAATCTAGTTTTTCAGTCCTATGATTTCGCAAATTATATGTCTGGTCAATTTAATGGTGCTCAACAAAAAATATCAGAAGCTATTGGACGTAAAATTCCATATATTCCTTGTAAGGCGCATAGAATCAATACTTTTATTGAGCATGCGTGTAATTCTAGTTTAATAATAACAGATTTATTTTCAATTCTTCAAGAACTATATGTTTTTTTTTTCATCTAGTACTAAATGATATGGACCTCTATTGAACAAACTAAATGAAATTGAAAATTCTCTTAAATTGAGAAATTTATCACAAACAAGGTGGACAGCATGCGCTGAAGCATTACAATCATTATGGATATCATATCCAATTATTATTGATGCATTGGATAATATTGTTGAAGAAAAGAAAATTGATAAAAAAACTAAAAATACAGCTTTTTCCTTGTCGAAAAAATTAATTTCTGTTGATTTTGTTGTAAGCCTAATGTTTATGAAGAATATTATATACAAACTAAAACTGTTAACTGAATGTCTTGAATCAGCTGTATTAAACATAACAGATGCTACTTTATTTATTTCAAGTACTCTGAAATCATTAGACATTATAAATTGTGATTCTGAAAATATGAACAACCTGATCCAAAGTGCTGTAGTTTTTTTGAAAAAATATGTTGTTGATGCTGAAAAAGAATTTTCTGTACGACACCATCGTCGAATTGCCCCTAAAAATTTGGACATTAATAGAAGTAATGCTTTTGAATTTTCCTTTTACTCTTTTTATAGGAAAGAGTTTAAAGTGGTCTTAGATAAACTGAATGGTTTAATAAAAGATCATCTTGAAAAATCTATTAATGATATTAAGCCATTATACAGTATGTTTAAACCAGCATTTTCAAAAAAATTGTTGACGGAAACTCTTATTCAAGATGCAATACAACTTTTACCAAATAACATTGAAATTGATACATCAACTTTGCAGTGTGAACTAGAAGTGCTCTACGATCAATGTCAAAATAAAAGCACTATGAGTGACCTAGCAATAGTTTCCCATGAATTAAAAACTGCTTTACCATTGGCAAATTTATTATGCCACTTATCGTGTACAGTACCTGTAACCGTTGCTGGCAATGAAAGGTCATTTAGCAAATTGAAAATAGTCAAAAACTATTTAAGAACAACCCAAGAAGACTCTAGGTTAAACAATTTGATTTTAATTTCTTCTGAAAAAGATTTGGTGGATAAAATTTCTTTAAATGAAATGGCTCAAAAATGGGCAACTCTAAAAAAAAAGAAGAATATTGATAATCAATAATGATAATGATAAAAAGTATTTATAAGAGAATGAATCATTTTTATGACAATTATCATTGATAATATATATTTTTACTATTTACTTTATTTTCTTATTTTTTAGTACATACAATTTGCTATTACTGTTTCACTATGAAACCATTTTACTCCGCCTATTTTAAAAATAAATATTTTATCATAATAAATTGTACTTGAACATAATATTAAGATTGAAAATCAAAGACATAAATAATTTTATTCTTACAGATCATTTAGGTCATCTATTAATATATTAAATTAGTATATATTTTATTATTATTAACTACCTATTTTATTGGAAATGTGGTACCTAATGGAATAATAGTAATGAATATCTTATATATTAAAAAAATTTCATAATTTATTAGTATAATAGCTTAAATTTTTAATTTACTCAAATAATTAACATTTTAACGATGAAATGGCTCCAAAAAAAATGACAAAAACAAGTTGTCCCGGATCAATTTTTAGAGTTGGCCAAACTACTACGTTGACCCCCCCCCCAAACAAACCTCCACGGTACGCCGCTGGTATTCATTTACAGCGAGTTTAACCGTTTCTAGTAATATATATAATAGATAAATAACACAACAAAAATCATAATAAACAAAAGATCTTATTCCTACAGAATACAAATAAATGATAATACAAGTAATAATATAACAAACAGACCATCTATCTTTTAATAACAAATAACACTTATTAAACAAATAAATAATAATAGTGAAAAACAATTCAATTAATTATGATAGAATGGTACCTTAAGGAAAGGGATTAGGAACTCTCTGGATCTACTCCTATGTGATTGACCGGAACTAGCAAGATGAAACGTCCATTGTCTAACGACAAACAAACCGTAGCTGATCTTATCCAAAACAGGGTTGAGCTGTTCGTAATTGATCGTACTGGAACTGGCTAATGCCGAGGCAACAACAAATGATCGCCGGCAATACGGTAAAAACGACTTTCCCGAGCGAATAAAAGCACAACTTGCAAAAGCCGATAATAAAAAATACACGCGGTTTTCAAGACAACAAAATCTTGTGTCGTGAGCAGTGAATAACAACAGAACAAAACTAACAGAACTGAATATAACGTAAAAATTACGAATAATCATGGCGGATAGCGGCGGCAGTGCGTCCGCAGCGTCATAGTCTTTCCGAACGCCGCACGTTCCAGCTGAACGGCAGCGCTCGACTTCTCGACCAAGGGGGTGTCCGATATCGCTTATCAACTTGAGTGAACAGGATCAATTGGCATTAGAGATGGGCCATGAAGTTGTTCGACTTCCTCCATATCATTGCCAATACAATCCAATTGAGTTGATATGGGCTCAGGTAAAAGGTAAAGTGGCGAAAAACAATACAACTTTTAAAATGTGCGATATAGAACGATTGACTCACGAAGCGTTGGATTCGATTACCCAACAGGATTGGGAAAAGTGTGTTAGACATGCCGAAGAACTGTAAGATAAAGATAACGAAAAGGAAATTATGAGAGATACTATATTAGAGCCAATCATTATGACCTTGTTACCAGATAACAGCGATTGGGACGACAGTCACAATGAAGAAAATGTGGAATAGTACTACCAATTTCTGAGTTTGTATAATTTGTATTTATATTTTATTCTGTAATTTTTTATTTAAACCTTAACGATAATTATTGAAATTAATTGTAATACAAATGTTATTTAAAAAAAATTATATATTTTTACTTGTATTATTAGGTTAAGTTTTTTGTTTTTTGTTTTTTTTTTTTTGAGTTTTGATTTTAGTTCCGATGCGGCAGCCGTCCGATACACACGTATGTTTCAACGTCGTCGTGCCTCGCCTGCCAATTAGTGCTTAATTAAACAACGCGTTTAATATTTAAATATTAACGTAGTAATATATCAATGTCTTTAATGTCTCTCTTACATATAAATAAACAAAAATAACCTATTTTTTATTATTTATTATTTGTTTTTCCACGCATTCGTACAGTCGTACGAATGAATATTACTTTATACAGTTTTAAAATAATTCTATTCATAAATAGTCCAATTATTGTTCAATTACGTAACACACCGATCGGCGTTTCCTTATCTGCGGACCGTCTTCGACGGCCCGATTAATCTAATTAATCACCTCCGCATCGACCACAATGTCAACAACTACGAACAAAAATAACAACGCTGATATGCCTCCGATCAACAAACTCGCAAAACCAAAACTCAATGTAAATACAAATCTAAATGATTCTAATCACAAGGCTTCTTCGTCCAACGTCACACCAACGAGTGACTGGTCAATTCAAAAGAAAAGGAATCACTCCAATTCCTCTTATTCTAATCCTGGTTCACCAACCTCTCCACAAGTGCGCCCTCCTAAATCTAAAAAAAAAAATTATACATTACGAATAATCGCTACGAAGTCCTCAATTCAATGGAACTATCGGTAGAACCTCCTGCTGAAGATTCGCAGGATAAAAATTTCGAACCAGACGTTCCCTCATCTATCAAACTTCTACCTCCTATATTCATAAAACACGTTCGCGATTTTCCTGATTTATGCACCGAACTCTGTGAGTTAATTGGTGTTGATAATTTTCAGTGTAAGTCAACGCCAGATCAACTAAAAATCCAAACGACAAATCCTGAAGCATACAGAACGCTAGTCAAGTTCTTAAGAAATGAAAAAGCACAATTTTACACGTTTCAATTAAAAGAGGATAAACCAACTTGCGTGGTGATCTGTAATTTACATCCTACTACACCAACTAGTCTAATAAAAAGTGAACTGGAAACACGTTTTTTTGTAGTCCGTCAAGTCTCTCAGGTACTCCACAGACTAAACAAAAAAACAGCTTCCACTGTTTTTTGTAGATTTAGAACCAACGATCCACTCAAATGAAATATTCGAACTCAATTCTCTACTTCATACAAAAGTAAAGGTTGAAGAATCCCACAAACCTAAAACGATCGCCCAATGTGCTAATTGTCAGGACTATGGACACACAAAGGCGTATTGTGGTCACCCACCTCGCTGTGTCCGCTGTGGAAAAGATCACCACTCTTCTTCCTGTCCGAAATCTCGAGATGAACCTCCTTGCTGTGCACTCTGTAATAGAAACCACCCGGCGAGCTATAAGGGATGTTAAATTTACAAAGAGCTCCAACACCGTAAGAAATCAAATTCCAATAATAACAAATTTTTTTTCGATACTAAAGATACTAATTTTAAGTCTAATTATGTACAAGATCATCACCCTTTAGGTCCCACTCCTACTAATTCTCCCAAGTCGCAAAATCAATCCTACGTAGAGGCAGTAGCCAATCAGACAGCTCGGCATACATTACCTCTTCCAACACCTCCTTCAGAAACCAATATCACACTCTTAATGACAAGTTTCCTGAATGATTTCAAAACCTTAATTAATCCTCTAATCTCTCTACTAACAAAAGTAATCTCAAGTTTATTAGATAAAAAAAATGAATAACAATGTCACAAATAACTCACTCCTAATCCTCCTCTTCAATGCCAACGGTCTCAAAAATCATATCAATGAATTACAGTGTTATAGAATAAACGTGTAGATATAGCACTAATAACAGAAACCCATTTCAAAAAATGCTCCTTTATAAATATCCCTGATTACTTTTCATTAAAATCGAACCACCCAGACAATACCGCACATAGTGGTGTATCAATTCTAATTAAAACTTCCTTATTTTATCAACCACTTCCTAACTATAGTTATGAACATATACAATCCTGCTCTATCCAAATCAAATTAAACAACATACCACTTAATATTGGCGCATTTTACCTCTCCCCCTTGTCACAAGATCACTAAAGAAATACTTTCAAATTACTTTAATACAATTAAAAATAATTTTATTGTCGGTGGTGATTACAATGCCAAGCACCAGAATTGGGGTTGTCGAGCCAACAACCTTCGCGGCACCGTACTTTACAACTTAGCCAACGAAAGACATTTCCAAATTTTATCACCACCTGGACCTACTTATTGGCCTACCTCTCCTAAAAAAAGCCCAGATATATTAGATATCTTCTCAGCTAAAATTCCGGGCAACTTATATTGCTCTTATATTGTCCAACTCAGTAAAATATCTTGGCATCATACAAGATAAAAGACTAACTTGGAACCATCATATAAAATCAAAAAGATTAATTTTAAACTCTCGCTCCCGTTCACTTAAAAATTTAATTACAAATAATAAATGTTCAAGTTTAAAAACTAAATTATTAATATACAAATCACTGATAAAGCCAATTTGGTCATACGGACTACAGTTTTGAGGTACAGCCAAAAAAACGAACCTAAACAAAATTCAAGCCTATCAAAATAAAACACTAAGAAAAATCACAAATGCCCAACCCTACATATCTAATCTTACCCTTCAATAACGACCTACGTATGAAATCTATAGAAGAAGAATCTGTAATATTTTACAAACGATTCTTCTCACGCCTAAACAATCACGAAAATCCACTGATTCTAAGCCTAAATTCCTTAACGCTCCCGGAAAACCCTCGTAGGAGGCTAAAAAGAAGATGGTGCAGAAACCTCTTAAATTAAAAAAAAAAATGTGTACCTTACCTACTGCTTAATAAATTTCCTGCCTTCTTACTCCCACCTTCCAATCTTTTCAATTTATAGGGTTACCATAGGGTGATAAACTTGATGAATAACTACTTTTTTCACATGTCATATACTTATTGTGCTATACAGTATAGATTGTATATTATCTCTTAAAAAATAAAAAAAATAAAAGTTTTGATTTTGGTATTTTGTTGTTATATTGAATTGCAAGTCGGTATTCAAGTATTATGTACAATTATAATTTGTATTTTTACTTTTATTATTATAAACAATTTCGAATACTTTAATAAATAATAATAATTAAATATTTAAAAATGTAATATCATTTTTATTTTAAAAATTAGTATGTATTACAAATAATACATCCTTTGTCAAAAATATCGATTTTACGTTTTATGTATAAAAAAAGCGGGGGAAATAAGACTAATACTTATTGTTTATACGGCGTACGTATTTGAAAAGAGCGGCAAATTGTTTAATAACCACTACAACAAATAATCCGCTTGGATC